GCATTGGGCCGAAAATAGATTCAGGTGCGCACAAAAGGGCAGCGTGAGAAAGGCCCAACTGCAGGTTCTCAAGTAGAGAAAAGGCACAGTAGAAAGTTACAGCATTTAGAATGGCGCATACAGAACAAGATGGCGGCGCATACGTCAGGTTAGAACAGTTAATAAAGTTACAGTGGGAGCATACAGAGTTACAAAATTGGAATCAATTGCACAGGCTATAACAGAGCCTAGAACATGGTACCCTGGTAATTTTCTGATTAAATGGTTATAAAAACTTTTGCATTTTCTGCTTTAAAATGTTTTTGACTAAATGTTTATAAAAACATTTGTCTTCTCCTTTGACTTCTCTCCCCAAGATTTTTATTTTAAACTGCAGTTGTCTTGTCCTAAACTACTGATCTCAGTAGTTTTTTCCTCATGATTCTCTTTTTTTTTTTTATTTTTTTATTTTTTTAATTTATTGTGTGTGTGTGGCCAGCTCAGCCCACAGGGGGCGGGGCTGGCTGGATGTGGTGCTGGGGGATTGAACCGCGGTCCCTGTGTTTGCCAAGCTTGTTCCAAGTAGGTGCTTTAGACCACTGAGCCATCTCCCCAGCCCTCATGATTCTCAATGATTACCTTTATAAATATATTCTTATTAATATATTTTACACAGGTCACCTTGAATTCATTTCATTCTGAGGTCTCTCCTTAAATTATTCCCCAACAGGTGGTATAAAAAGATGACTCAAGGGGTTGGGGAGATAGCTCAGTAGAATAAGCACTTGCGTGGCAAGTGCAAGGTCCTGAGTTCAATCCCTGGTTCCACAAAAAAAAAAAAGATGACTCAGTAGTGGGCATGGTGGTGCACACCTGTGATCCCAGCGCTCAGGAGGCTGAGGCAGGAGGATCACTGTGGAGCTTGAGGTCAGCCTGGGCTACATAGTGAGTTCAAGGCCATCTTGGGGGACACTAAGATCCTTTCTCAAAGAAAAGAAGTTGGCAGGCATTCACAGTGTTAAAAGCAGTAATTATGCTTGCTTCAATGTGGACTTTTAAATTCTCAACAAATTATCATAATTAAAGTACTTTCTATTTAAAAGGAACACTTAGCAAAGCATGGTGACACAAGCCTGTAGTCCAGCCCTGGGACGACCGAGGCAGGAGGATACTGAGCTTGAGCCCTATCTAGGCAACTTATTGAGATCCTATCTCAAAATAAAAATTTTAAGAATGAGGGGGTTGGGGGCCTGCCCATTAGCTCAGTTGTTTAAGTGCCTGCTTAAACAAAGCAATGAGGCTCAAGTTGCTCTGGTTCGAACCCAGATACCCCCACCCAACCAGAAATGCCCTGAAGGCATGTTCAGCCCCCTCCCCAAACAAAACAAAAAACAAAACAAAAAAACAGAGTGAGCGGGGAGAGCCAGCCAAATAGCTCGGCAGACTGAGGTTTCTGCTTAGGCAGATGCAGTGGCCAGGGTTTGTTCCATCCCAGTGCCGGCCATTGAGACTGGGCGTGGTGGCACACACCTGTAATCCCAGCACTTGGGAGGCTGAACACAGGCGGAACAATAGGAGGCTGATCTACTAGTGAAACCCTGTACTAAAACACACACACACACACACACACACACACACACACACACACACACAGAGTGTGGGGTTTTGGGACCCAGTTCAGTGGCTGAGTGTACTTGGGCTTGATTCTCAGTACCAAAAAAATAAAGAACAGAACAGAATAGCACTGGGGATGCAGTTGAGTGTAGATCCTGTGTTCAGCCCGGTCAGGGTCCTGGGTTCAATCCCAGTACATCCATCCAAAACGTTAGCAGCTATCATAGGAACCAACCATTTTACCTTTTGGTACGTATACAACAGAAGGAGGGAAAAAAAGGAAAAAAGAAAGAGAAAGCAAAACATATGTATACATAAATACCCTGCACATGAAATGCAACAAGCCTATTAAATGAAAACTTACATTTTAGTTAATACAGATCAGACAAAAATGCTGGCCTGCAACTCGCAAGTATCCTCCTGCCTCCCCAGAGCTGGGATTACAAGCATGCACCCCCAAGTTTGGCCAGCATCGAGATCGTAAACTTCTGTGGAAACTTTTTTCTTTTGGTGGAAGCAGGCATTGAACTCAGGCCCTTGCGCTTGCCAGGGAAGCGCTTATTTCACTGAGCCATCTCCCCGGCCCCAGCTTTAACTCTATAAAATGTAATTAATTTGTAACTCAGAAATACAGAAGTATTTATTTATAAAGAGGGTATCGGTATGTAATTCATGCTATGTAACTCAGTAGGTAGCCCCGGCTGCCCTCGAACTCACGGCGATCCTTCTGCCTCAGCCTCCCAAGTGCTGGGATTACAGACACGCGCCACCACACGATACCGTAGAACGCTTAGGTATCCCAAATCATTTTTTTTCTTTACACAAATCAAACAGTTCCCATTTGATATTAAATAGGAAAAAGTCAAAATTAGTGAGAATGAAAATCTACTCGGAATAGTTTTGGTATTTTAAAACTGATTTTCCACTTTTGCTGGAGGCCCAGTGGAAGCGCGGCCTCCGTAACGGCTGAGCAGGGACCAGGCTCCGAGTCCAGAGTGCGCCGCCTCCGTCCGCGCGGCACCCCTCTAGTTCCCGCGCCAGCATCGCTCGGTTTCCGTGAACAGCTGCTTCCACGTTCCACTATGCGTCACCCCAAACTCAGGGTCCCGTTCAAATAGCCTCAAACGAGCATCGAAAGGAGCACCAGAGACGTCTGACTGAGACGGCAAGCACGCTGGAAACGATGCAGGAAACAGCAGTCCGGAGTCTAAAGCAGGCGGAGCGCCAGCCGCAGAACTCTGCAGAACGTTTGTTAGAAACAGTAACAGTCATCCTTTACGAACACACTCGAAATCTTCCCATTTTCCCCAAGTGTTTGTGCCTTTAACGGTACCGATGAGCCAAAGGAGAAAACGCTTAACGGACACTAGGACCACGGACACGTCAGCGGGCGTTAGCACAACTAAGGACGAGCTCAGCAGCAACAGCCCCATTTAAAGCTGCAAGACCCGAGAATCGCGGACTACAAATCCCAGAGTTCCCCTGGGCCGAGGCGGGGCTATCTCCAAATTGATAACTAGATCCTCCAATGGCAGCTAGAGAACTCTCCCAAGGGAGGGTGGAAAGCATTGATTTTTCTGCATTCAAACCTAGAAGTACTTTCGAGGCTTTCTTGTACCGCTGTGGTATTTGGGGATACATTTTTAGTACCAACATATTTCAAGCCCTCAGTAGACTCCCACTAGTTATCATAAAAATTAAGGACCCGGAAATGGAGCAGTACGCGTTCTTGCTAGCTTCTATATATTAAAAAGGCAGATGCGAGGAACCTGAGAGCAACAGGAATATCCGGTCCACAGAGAAAGAGGTGGAACCCACTTTAGTCTTGTCCTTTATTGGTCATGCAGCCCAGAGACCTCTTTCCAACCAATGGGGTCCTTGAAACCTCAATTTACGTCAGGGATGGGGCGGTTCTGAGTGGTTCTTTGAGGAAGTCAGATCTACGCAGGCGCAGGTATCTACTGTCGTCCAATCGGGAGCTAGCAAGACAGACCATCTCCCGGCAAGCTCCGGGGCGTTCCACTCCCCTCCACTTTTATTGCCCCGCCCCACTTCTTTGCTTCTGACCAATCCGGTACCTTTTTCTTAAGCGCTTTCGCGCGTCGGAGAGGTAGGGGGCGGGGTTCCGGTCCTCTACTCTGCGCCGCAGCAGCGCGCGTTTTCTTTCCAGCTCCGGCTGAGGGTCGCTGCTGAGGTACTCGCAAAGGCTGGGTTGGGCGAAGGATAGGCAGTAGCGGTGCCTGCTCAGTTTAGGAAGCCGGTGTCGCCGCACTTCCGGGGCGGAGAGCGCCGGGGGTGGGGCACTGGCGGGGCGCTCTGGAAGTAGGTAGTGGTAGGTCGGAGGAGACCCCTGGCCAACCCAGTGCGGTAACCCGCCGCGACGGACCGCAAGGTGAAGGCTGTGTTGACGCCGCGACCTTGCAGCAGGGGTGTGCAGGGCTGTGTACTAGGCTCTGGGTTAGGAGTCGTGGGTGAGGGTGACTGCGTGTGTGTGGGTGGGTGGGGACACACAGCTTTTTCTAAGTTGCTGTTTTATGAAATGTCACCACCAGGCTAAGGTTGAGTTAAATTCTGAGTTAGGTCTTTATCTCCGAAATGATGTGGCTTGTCTCCCTGGAGGTGGGCGTGATGTTTGTGTTTTCCTTTTCCTGAGAAGCAGTAGGCACTAGACTTAGGGGTTGTTACCCTGTGAGTGTGGCACTCAGCTTCCGTGGATGTGCAGTAAAGATGGCATTGTAAAATGTTTCTCTTTTCTTTCCTAAGTTGAAGTTGTTGAAAAAGCAAATACAACATACCTAGCAGTGAATTACTGTTCCGAAGGTAGAAAGGTCCAGTGGGCAGATGTCAGGGTTGGAGGCAACCATGTAAGTTGTCCTTGGATTCTGCACTGCAGACTTAATGCAAACTTGACTGCTGCTTAGAGCTGTGACAATCAAGTGAGAATATCGATATAACATGGAGGTTATTGATATAAGTCACATCAGACTGATGCTGTCGTTCCCATTTTTAAATTTTTTTCCCCCTGCCCTGCCTGGGGATGGCATTTGAACTACTGCACAGAATGAAACTGAGCTTAAATCCCAGTGATACTAGAGTGAAATTTCTCTTAAGTCTTTGGGGACCTTGAGTGGGTTAGCTCAGTTATGAGGACAGTCTTCCCCCTGTGAACAGAGGCAAGGAGAGTCAGGTTTGAGGTCTGACCTTAGGCTGGTTTGTGTGGTATAAAGGAAAGGCAGATCAGCCCACATCACTGCTTCTCTGAGTGTTTTTCTGTCACTTAGTTTTAAAGACTCTGTAAGTTGTATCCTTGTTTTAACCTAAATCTTGACTTTCTCTGCCACTAATATTGCTGATAGAACGTAAGGACACTACTTTTTTGCATTTTCACACTTCTTTTTATCCTTTGGAATAGGCTGAAATGGCTCCCAAAGACACCCAGGTCCTAATTCCTAAAAGCTCACAGTGTTTCATCATACAGCACAAAGTGTGTTACAAATCTAATTAGGCACTCTTAGATGGAGCAGGTGCCCTTGAACAGTGGCCTACACAGGACCATAATGGCCCCATAAAAAGGGAGGCAGAGGGAGGTGACAGAAGCATGTGTGAGAAGTTCCTGGGCCAGGCCTGGAAGTAGCATTCGTTATTGACTTTCAGATTCCATTGGAATGTGACACACGGATGGATACACCTAACTTAGTGTCTCTAGCTGGTGACATGAAGTTGTATGATAATAGTGATGTACTAGCCAGCTGCTTAGAACTTGCCCTGAGCCTTGAAGTTTTCAGCCCTTAGTTTGTCTACCTTATACTTTACATTGTCATCCAAATGTCTTTTAGGACATGTTTGTTGGGCAGTATCCCTTTGAAGTTTTGGGTTTTTTTCTTCCCCAAATGTATTTGGTACAGGGTCTCACTACGCAGCTTGGACTGTAGTGCTCCTCCTGTTTTCAGTCTCCCCAGCACTGGGATTAGAGGCATGCAACCTGGTCCCTGTGCTTGCCTAAGCAGGTTCTTAGTTGAAGTGGTCTTTAGACCTGGTGTTGCTGTGAATGGCCAGCACAAAGCCCTTGTCCTGATAAGGGTTTGGCTCTCCAGGCCAGGAACAGTGCTTGACAGCCATCTCTGCTTGTGCTGATTGAGTTTGTTCCTGTACTCTTGAGTGGGGAGATAGCTAGTGCAGGGTTTTCCTGCATGAATCCTGTATCAAAAGTTTGCAAGGGCCAGGCATGGTGGTACACTCCTGTAATCCCAGCACTCAGAGGTCTGAGGCAGGAGGATCACTGCAAATTCAAGACCAGCCTTCACTACATATTGAGACCCTATCTCAAAAAAATTTACAGGGGAGCAGGTCAAACATGCCACCATGCCTGACATAACATTATGTTGTCTATAGTCCCAGCACTTGGGAGGGTGAGGCAGGAGGTTCACTGGGACTTTGAAGCCAGCCTGGACTACACAGTGAGTTCAAGCCCAGCCTGAACTACATAGTGAGATCCTCTCTCAAAAATAGAAACAAAGAACCCTGCATTGTGTGCTCTGTATTACTTTCTAGATTTTCTTGGTCAGTCATTGTGTGAAACAACTTGAAACATGAAGCATAAAATTTTTGGTAGCCTCATAACAGGAGTACTTCAAGTCAGATGATACAGAGACCATGAAAATTGTTCAACTTTCCTGTAAAATAATAGTAATTTGACAAGTACCCTACCTCCAGTTTATAGAGTATGAGAATCAAAACAAAATAATGTTGTAGTCCTTTGCAGAAATGTAACATTGTTGGCAACAAAGGCACCACACAGTGCATCTGATCCCTGACTTGAAATTATACTACAAAGCTACTATCCTAAAAACAGCATGGTGCTGGCAGCAGAATAGACTTGAGGATCAGTGAAACAGTAGAATTGCAGAAATAAGTGAAAACACATTCAGCTACATTATCTTTGACAAAGAGAACAAACATGTTCAGTTGGGGAAAAGATAGGCTCTTTAATGGTTCTGGGGAAACTAGCTTTCTAATGCAAAGAGTGAACCTAGACCCGTATCTCTGACCGCATACTAAACTAAAGTTGGAATAGATTGAAAGTCTAAATGGTAAAACAAAAACTAAATCTGCTGGAAGGTAGAACAGGTATAGCTCTAGAAAACAAAGAGTGGGCAAAGACTTTATGAACAAAACCTCATCACACAAGAACTGTCTCAAAGGATGAGCAAACATTTTATTAAAAAGCTTTTGCAGAACAAAAGAAACCACCAACAGAGTAAAGAGACATCCCAGAAAATAGGAAAAAAATTTTATCAACTACTCCTCAGACAAAAGACTGATATATAGAATACATAAAGAACTCAAGGGGCCGGAGAGATGGCTCAGTAGAATAAGCACTTCCCAGGCAAGCACAAGGCCTGGGTTCAATCCCCGGTTCTGCAAAAAACCCTCAAATCAGACATTTCTCAGATGAATAAGTACAAACAGCAAATAAATATAAAAAAATTGTTTGGGCCAGTGAGATAGCTCAGCAGACTAAGTGTCTGCTTAGGCAAGCACAGGGAGGGACTGGGGTTCAATCCCTGGCACCACCTGCCTCACTGGCTCCACCAGTGAGGCACACTGTGCGAGCCACTAAGACCAGGTGTGGCCCATGTCTGTAGTCCCAGTGCTGGGCAGGCTGAAAACAGGAAGATCACTATGAGTCTGAGCTGCATAGTGAGACCCTGTACCCATTAAAAAAATTGTTCAACATCACCAGTCATTTGTGAAATGTAAGTTAACCCTGAGATAGTATCTTCAGAAAGAGAGGCTGTTTATCATGAAATCCATAACAAGTACTGGCAGGGCTTTGGGGAAAAGAATCCTTTTCTGCTGTTGGTGAGTGTAAATTGGTACTACCACCATGGAAATCAGTATGGCAATTCCTCAAAAAACTGGAATTAGAGATTTTATGTGATCCTGCTGTTCCCCTTCTAGGTATCTTCCCAAAAGAGTTCAAAGCATCTTATCTCAGTGATGTACCTATACTCATGCTGTAACATCACAATTTATGTTAGCTAAATCCTTGGAGACAGCCTAGATTCCCCTCAGTGGATGAATGGATAAAGAAGGTGGGTTTGTTTTGTATATATAGTCGTGTACTATTCTGCCAGAAAGAAGTGTAAGCTTAAGACAGTTTTAGCAAATGGATACAGACCATAATGTTAAGTAAAATGAATCAGACACACAAGTGTAAATACTGCGTGATATGTCTTCTGTGAGAAACCTGAAGGGTAAGTAAACATAATAGAGGACAGATGTTGGAAAATAGGAAGAACGTGGTCGAAAGGGGAGTGGAAAGGGAAAGTGGATTAGATAGAGCAGAAGGAAAAGAAAAATGGAAACATTTGTAAGGGGAGAGGACTAAGTGAGGAAGGGCAGTGGGAAAGAAAGATGCCCTGTGTACAGGCGTGGATTGCCTGTGGTGAATGTGAGCAACGTGGCAAGTGGGCTAATGCAAAAATAGAAATATGTAAAGATTTTTGCTAACAGAAATATTGTCTAGAACCTTAAAGAAGAGTTCAGATTTAGCATTAGGTCTGTTTGAATTTTACCAGTATGTGTGTTACTATTTTTTATTTTTTTAGCTCTTTTCCATTTTAGAAGTGGTTGGATAAAAAGTGTGAAACATTCATTTGAGTCAAGTCTCAGTATGCCTTCACATTTCACTTCGCTTTGTTAATACTAAATGTTCATAGAGAGATTAAGAAACCTGGCAGTGCATCAGCTTGGTGTGCCATCGTCATTAAAAAGTTTTTCTAGTAATGTGTATCACTGTTTTGTCAGAAGGTGTTCCCTTCGTGCTAGTAGGGAGCCATCGAAACAAATGATGGCTTTTCTTATTCTTTTTCAGGTAGGGTCTTACTCTGGAGTTCAGGAGTTCAGGCTTACCTTGAGCTCACTGTGTAACCCAAGCTGTCCTGGAACCTGAGGTAGTCTTCCCGCAGGCTGGGATTAAAGGCGTGTGCTACCACGCCACCATGCCTGGCCACCAGTACTTTTTATTGAAACCCCCTTCCCGTTCTCTAGTGCTGGGGCTGAACCCAGGGCTTCCGACGACATGCTGGGCAAGTGAGCACTCTGCTGGTGAGCTCTATCTCTGGCCCATTTATTATTGGCTTAAAAGCAATTA